CAGACGGCGGCGGGAGCGTTTTCATCAGCGTATAAAACGGGCAGTTGCGGGGCGTGTGGAGCGGCTCACGATACAAATAGATGCAAATTCTTAATGTATACCTGCAGAGTTTGCAACGAAGAAGGGCATTTAAGAAAAGTGTGTCCACGTTTACGGAGGAGGGCTACAGTACATACTATGGAGGTAAATGAAGAGGGCAAGGAGGATGCTGTGCAACCTTTAGAGGTACATATAAATAATTTTAGTAGTACTTATAGTTATGATTTTTATAAGCCTCTAATGACTTGTATTGAAGTAGATAATAAAAATATCCAAATGGAAATTGATACCGGAAGTGCTATTTCCTGTGTGAGCTATGATTTTTACAAAAGTAAATTTAATGATTTACCATTATTGACAACCAATATAGTGCTATGCTTTTATACTGGTATTAAAATTGTTCCGATCGGGAAAATTAGGCCGACTGTCAAGTTCAGAAATAAATGTGTCTCATTAGATTTGTTTGTTGTGAAACAAGGCAAAAATCCTTTGTTGGGTCGGCAATGGATATACGAATTAGGATTAAATGTTGCCGATTTACATTGTAATTTTGTTAGAACTAGTACTACGGCATTAAGTATGGATTCGTTAATTTCCAGATTTAGTGATGTGTTCGAAGAGGGTCTGGGTCGTTTCACTGGTGGTGCGGTGTCGCTGCGTGTGCGCGAGGGCGCGCGGCCCGTGTTCCGGCGCGCGCGGCCGCTTGCTTACGCGCTGCGTGAGCCAGTGGAGCGGGCGCTTGAACAGCTGGAGCGGGACGGCGTCATCGCGCCCGTTGACACTTCGGACTGGGCCACGCCAATTGTACCCGTTATAAAAAAGGACGGATCTATACGGATTTGCGGTGACTATAAAATCACATTAAATAAATGCCTAGAAGTGGACCGTTTTCCCTTACCTAAGGTAGAAGATTTATTGGCTAAGTTACATGGGGGGGAAAAATTTTCGAAAATAGATTTGTCGCAGGCTTATGCACAATTTGAACTTGACGAACCCTCTAAAATGTACACTGTGATCAATACACACAAAGGTCTTTTTAAATATAACCGATTAATCTATGGTCTTTCGTCTAGTCCGGGTATTTTTCAAAGGAAATTAGAACAAATGTTTGCCGACATGCCTACAGTAGGGGTATTTTTAGATGACGTGATTTTAACAGGAGTCGATAATAATTCTCACGTAAAAACATTATACCAAGTTTTGGAAAGGTTAAAACGTTTTGGGTTAAAAGTAAAAAAAGAGAAATGTACTTTTTTCGCAGAATCGGTGACTTATTTAGGTTATGTAATTAGTAAAGAGGGTGTACATACTTGCCCGCAAAAGTTGAGTGCGATTAATAAAGCACCAGTCCCGAAAAATATTTCCGAGTTGCGTTCGTTTTTAGGCTTGGTAATGTACTACGCTAAATTTGTAAAAAATATAAGCATGCTGTTATCTCCTTTATATAAGTTGTTACGAAAAGATTCTAAGTTTGTTTGGACGGATCAGTGTTCAGAGGCTTTTACGAATGTCAAGCAGTTGCTAGTTTCAAGCGAGGTGCTAGCGCATTATGACCCAGGATTGCCAATTATTCTGACGACGGACGCTAGTGCACGCGGGGTGGGGGCGGTCATATCACACAGGATGCGCGACGGCCGCGAAAGACCTGTCGCTTATGCATCCCGAACGCTTAGTGCGGCTGAAGTAAACTACTCACAGATACAAAGGGAAGCATTGGCTATCATATTCGGTGTCACAAAGTTTCATCAATATTTGTACGGCCGGCATTTTTTGTTAAAGACTGATCACAAACCGCTCGTCAGTATTTTTGGTGAAAAGGCAGGTATACCTACCATGGCGGCCAGCAGGTTACAGAGATGGGCAGTTATTTTATCAGGGTATCAATATGATATCGAGTATGTACCGACATTAAAAAATAGCGCGGATGCATTATCTAGGCTACCTATCGAAAACAGCTGTGTGGAAAGGGAAGTAATAACATATGTAAATTTTGTTCAGGATTTTTTACCAATAACAAAAGATTTAGTTTGTGAAAAAGTTAAAGAGGATAAAATTTTAACGGGAATTAGTATGTTTTTACGTTCAGGGTGGCCAAATAAATGTCCAGCATCGGACATAGAACCTTATTTTTCTAGGCGAAATGAATTATATTTAGACTCGGGATGTATCATGTGGGGATATCGGATGGTAATACCATCCGAGCTGCGTGATTGTATTTTAAAAGAACTGCACACGGGACACATGGGTATAGTAAAGATGAAAAGCATAGCTCGTAGTTACGTTTGGTGGCCCGGAATAGACGCGGATATTGAGCGAACTTGCCGAGAGTGTGTAGTGTGTGCGCTAGAGGCGCCCGCTCCGCCGCACGCGCCCCCTAGCCCGTGGCCTTATCTCGCCGAGCCCTGGAGTAGACTCCACATAGACTTTTTGGGACCTTTTGACGGGTATACTTTTTTTGTAGCGGTGGATTCGACAACAAAATGGATTGAGGCGTATAGAATGTCTCACCAGACAGCCAGGGACGTAATTAAAGTTTTAAGGGAAATATTTTCTCGATTTGGTCTCCCGAAAGAAATAGTGTCTGATAACGGACCCCCATTCACTAGCAAAGAAATAAGTAATTTTATGGAACATAATGGTATAAACCACACCTTCACTCCAGTGTACCATCCGTCATCGAACGGGGCAGCTGAAAACGCGGTAAAGCTCTGCAAAAAAGCTCTAAAGAAAGCTTTACACGAAAAAATTGATTTTGACACAGCGCTGCAGTCTTATCTTTTTGTATATCGAAACACGGTTCATAGTTCAACTGGTCAAACACCAGCTATGTTGTTGCAACATAGAAATTTACGATCTAGATTAGATCTTCTTTGCACTGCAAAGAATAATAATGCTGTAACCAACGCACAAAAAGCGCAGGAAAATCAGATAAAAAATGCCGGCGGGGTCCCGCGTAGTTTTGAAGTAGGAGAGGAGGTATGGGTTAGAGATTTTGGCACGGGGGATGATAAATGGTCTAAGGGTAAAATAGAAAAAAAAATAGGTTCCCGTAATTATAGTGTAGCTCGGGAAAACGGTCAACTTATTAAGAGGCACATAGATCAGATACAAAGGAGATCGCAGATTTCAATACTTTCGTGCCCCAGTTCGGGTCCAACTGATTGCGTTAGCGCGCCAGCCGCCGCGCCGGCAGTGAACGATCCGGACCCCTGTGTACGGGTCAGAAAACCGGTAGAAAGATTCGGCAACCCCGTGTTTTATTGAGTATTGTATTTTTTTTTGGTTACAATATAGTTGTAATTATATTTTCTTTTGTACTTCATTATTATTATTTTTTTTTTTGGTTTGTTTATCATTGAATAAGTGGTAGGGTGTAATGTATGTATTAGAGATGTTATAAATTACTTTCAACCTTAATACTAAGTAATAAGATTGGTTTTGTCAACAAAGTTAATATTTTATATTGAAGGTATCCACAACTGTTTTCGTTATAATTTTATAAGGTGTCATCCTTCCTTCTTGAATAAACCGTTGTACAAGACGAACGTGTTTTCATTACGGCAACTCACAAACAGTTCAACTAGGTTAGGTTTGGGGGATTGCGGTTTATTTCGTGACTTAATAGGTTTTATGGCATCGCTATATTAGGAATGGAGGCCTTTGTTGAAAAACGGATATTTGCATATTGTGGGCCCTTACTGTGTTTAAAGAATGGTGTAAAAATTTGGAGTTGGAGTTTTAAAGTGGATTTTGACAAAAATGTCCCGTACTGTGTTTTGGTTTGGGACAGCCGTAAAAAGAAAACGCGCGAATTACATTGAATCCAATTTTACCACTTTGTCAGCGTAATTCATATTTAAACCTCCACAAATTTACAGCTTTCTAATATCAATACTCTCCAAACTAAACCTCGGACGGACAGACAGACGGATATGACGATACTATAAGGGTTTCTTCTCAGGGCTACGGACCCTAAAAATCTACGGCAGCAATTTATCTTTCAGGTACTATTTATAGGTATATATTATTTAAAAAAAACAGGTTTGACAAAAACAAATACATGTTGTGGTTTCAGTCAATATATTATTAGATATAATTATTTGTACGAATACTATTAATAATGTAAAGCTATTTAAGTATAGTATGTAACTATGTTATTGTAGTCTTAAAATAACTTTGATATCTACATTTTTAATGATATAAAAAACATATTTACAATCTATTTACAAAAATCAATAACTATATTTTTGGACTAAAATACAAAATTGTTTTGCTTGTGTTCTTACGCCTTTTGATATTAAAATCTATCGATACAATTTTTGGAATATCTATAAAGTTCGAAATACAAATAAAAATTAAAAAAAAGAATCGCCAGCTCTTTTCCCTTGTACTAAAGAACCGTGAGTAGATTAGTTAAGGCTAGTTCAACTTAACTTCCACTTTTATGGAACATTCTTTTTATAAAAAAGTGATATTTTATTTAAATTATTGTGACTTCGATTTTTAATGATTATGAACATCGTTAAGAGAGCTTCGACGACTGTAAAGAAATTCTTACAAAATAAATTTCAAAACACGTTTCATCTTTACACTATTAGGCGGTTTCAAACATACAAACGCTTCTTCACTTAAGCGAATAATGATTTAATTCGGCCATCACATTCTCCGTTATTAAGAAATATATTAATAATAATTTCGTATGTTGTTCGTTGCTGTTGCTTTGGTGCCTCGATACCACAGATCAAAAACTTTTCTATCCTACCTACTTCAATGAAGGAGGATGCGTGTGTTCTTTATTTAAATACTTAATCTACAAATAGAAAAAAAAAAACTAAAACCGCGCGTTCATATCACTCTGAACTGAAGTAAAAAGTTTTTTATCACAAAAGTTTAAGTATATTCTCTCAACCTTTTTGGAGGTCAACCGCTTTAAGTATTTTTTTTTACATTTTTTTATTTTTGTCAATGTACAAATTCGTTGACTCCACCTCCGTGGTGGTGGAACTGTTGTGTATTGTCCACAATGACAGTAGTGTACGCGCCTTCTTGGACAGAAGGACTCGGTGTCACCTTACCGAAGTTCCCGCCAAAATTGCCTTCGATCGGCCGGCCATTTTGATTCTGCCCGTTGTGCCCGTAGAAGGAGATCAAATTCGTATAATTATATTGCTGATTCACAATCTCGGAACTTTCTATAGAACTACAGGAGGAACTGCTCGCGGAGTAAGGCCGTTGATTCTGCGGGTAGTTCACGTAATTGTTGGCGGGCATAATTTCCGGTTCGTGGTAGTTTTCGTAAAAGAGTTCGGGGTAGGAGCCGTTCTGTTGGTGATGGAAGTCTTCTTGTTCGTAAGTTGGCAACACTGGCAGGTTGTACTCGGGGTAGGGGTAACCGCCGCTTGAATCGCCGCTGAAATCGCTTTCGTTTAGGTGCACGTGGTTTATTTTGTTTTCAGTTTGTCTGATGGGCACTTGTGGGGTCGTGGTAGGTGCTAAAGGTGTTGGTACTTCGTGGTTCAGTTTCGGAGGACCCTGGTCAATGTTCAGTATTAGATGTTTCTCTTCTATATCGCTGTGAAGAGATTAAACATTTCATGAATTAATTTGGTTTATCAATAAATACATTTTATGAAATTCTTTAGAATAATCAATATAAATGAATCACCGACTGTATATAGGTACCAATTTGTTTTTTTTTCTTATTGACAGGTTTATTGTAGCGATTATAAGTAGTGGTATGCAATTTACTGGGTCAGCCAGTAGGTTTTCAATACATTTGCTCAAAAAAATGCATTTACGAAGGTTGTATACATTGTTCGAAAATTTAAAATTACGGGCCATATACTTAGCGGAGCGTGCGGTAAAAATTATTTATGCCCGCTTCCATACACGGCACAGTGTATTCTTTACGGTTCTTTTTTAATTTCGACTGAACCTCTTCGGAAACGCTTTTGGTCTATACCTATGTCTCTCTTTAATACTAAAAAGAAAAATAGAAGAAAGATAGTTCTCATTTTCACCACCCGCATATAGCGCCATCATCTTACTAAAAAAAAATGCTAAATTACTTAAATTATGTATTTATAATGTTTTCTCGCAAATGTGTTGAAAAACGTTGTATGACATTCGTGCGGATTGGTACTGCAAACTCGTGACTATGGTAAGTCATATTTACATTGGTCTACTCGTTTGTAATAACCAACTTAGCGCTCTATTAACAAGGTACTATTTCTTTATACCAATTAGCCTAGCCCCAAAGTAAGCACTGTCAGGCTTGTATTTTGGAATATTAGAGTAACGAGTAGAACACATATACTGATACATATGAAATACATATAAACATCCATGATTTAGGTTACAAATGGTCGTATTCATCACACAAACATATTTATGCCCCTCCGGGATTCGAACCCGGTTAGGCCTCTCAAGTACATACAACCAATCCGCGCTGGCCCGCGTGGTGGGTCACGGCCCAAGCTCCCTATTCCATCCGTAGAGATGGCCTGTGCCACAGCAGAGGCACCTTAATATGCTGATGATGATGATGTAACAATACCTTAGCACGTAGTTGACGGAAACGATGCAGTGAGGCCTGGAAGAGCGGGAGTTGTGCACTATGGTCGCGTAGCTCTGCATCCACACCCAACCCCCCGACTTGGTCATGAATCTGTAGTAGCGTGACGTCACCTGGCCTTTTGTTAGGACTGTGGGAAAAAGGAAATTTGTTAAGGTTATAATTATACTTGTAGCGGATTGTTGAAGGGAACGTCAAGCCTTGGGTGCATAGAGGTATAAGAATAGAGTAGGGGAGATATGTACTCGACTACTAGTGGAAGTGTTCGTCTAGTAGAAAGAGAAAGAAGATGAGGGACGGCTAGCTATCTCTCTCTCTAGTGACGCTGCGCAGTCGTATGATTGGTCGGTATTGCTGCGCAATCGTGTGATTGGTCGGTATTCATTCGTAGGTTTTTCATCCAATGCGCATTCGCGATTAGAGAGAGAAAGGCTAGCCGTCTCTCATCTTCTTTCTCTTTCTACTAGACGGACACTTTTAGAGCCGCCTTCCCCACTCTATTCTTATACCTCTATGCTTGGGTGTATTCGGCAAATAGGTTGGCAACACTAGTTACTAATGAAAGACAGCTGACGTTTGACATCTGTCACTGTGAGAGCATAAAACGAGTGAAACGTTGCATCATCCCCCCCTCAGGGGATGATCGCTTCAGATGACGCTTGTAAGGCCCTTCCCCATAAGCATGAACTACGGGTGTGTTTTAGTCAGTAAGAGTGACATAACCTTGCAGCCGGCTGTAGGGTATCCATGAGGATTTCCCACCCGCCTGGGAGGAAACAAAAAAAAGAAACAGGAATAGAGATCTAGACGTCGGCTGGTCGGTCTTGTTCAAACCTCTTACGGACTTCGCCATGTTCCGATTTAATCCATTTGCATCTGAGCAATCACAGTTCATTCAGAGCTGATTATTCGTGATTATTCGTTAGACTATCTTTATTATTAAACGTAGTCAGTGCAAACCGAGTAGTACGAACTCCCACTTGCTCCTTCTACATACTTTTGTATCGTTTTCTCCATTGCATTGCATTAGCAACTGTTATTAGTAGTAGAATTTATCCCTCGGTTATTTGTAAACAGTTGCCAACTTTAGGAAACAGCTTCCAAGCTCTACCTCATGGAGGCCTGAGACTTTACTTACTGTAAAAATCAGAAAACCACCTAATGGCTACATTTATGTAAAGATTTACTGACCAGACGGGCGTTCCTATTGGTCCAAAAGATTTAATTAAGCTTTATCCTTACTCAAAGACTTTATCTCTCATTGATATCGTAAAAAAAAATGCGTGATTAGTCCAAGTAATACCTCCAACCTTAAAAAGTTCAACTTTTAATGTAAGAGATATGTATAAACAGCATGACTAAAAAGCCCGTCCTAGGAAGTAACCTCCACGATCAGTGCCGTCTTTGACCTATTGGAGACCCTGGGCATATTAGGATAATAGGCCCCCTATGAACTAGGGACTTTGTATTTGATCTGAGGGGGGCCCCTATTGATCGCGGGGCCCTTGGCACTTGCCCAAAGTGCCCACTGGGAAAGACGGGTCTGTCCAGGATACAGAAGATTACAGTTAAATAACAATGTTTTGTAGTACAAAAGTACTTTAAGTTTACATCAAATAAGGTTTGTTGTGGGGTGTTCTTCACATGGTCAAATATGTTTTTAGATTGGAAATCCCGACGCACACTTAACATTGAATTTGCTGGGTTTTTTGTAAACAGCAAAGCAATGTTGAATGATGCGAAACACAATAATGGGGCTGGCGTGTGTTAGTGCGGTTGTTGAATGGGGCTAAAAGCCTGAGCAATGAGTTTAATAATTAAACTTTATATGAAGTACCGTAATTTGGTCAGTGTTAAGTGGTAAGTCTTTGTAAATGATAACACTGGGAGACTGCAGCAAATAATATTTTCTGTTCGATCCCAAGGCTCTTTATTTTAAGGAAACTAGGAACTCTGTATTTTTTTTCTTAAAAAAATGAGTTTTGGCTTTTCTCTTTTTATTTAGTATAATCTACTTACGTGTGCAGTGTGAGTAGCGCATGTGCAAGACGTCGGTTCCATGAATGTAATGGTACAGAGTCTTTTCTATCAAGTCCTGCGGTTCGTAGCCAGTCAGTGTTGCCACTCTGAAAAAAAAACAAAAGCTTTAGTAGAAAATTTAAATAATTCAATGATATTTTTAATTATTTTACACTACACCTGCTCAGAAAGAGCATTATTCTTATGTTTTTTTTAATTTTTTTAAGCATATAACTGCTAGATGTTGAAATCTAAATAAAAGTTTATTTTTGTTTTAAGAATGAAGCAGAAAGGACCTCATTAGTACAATAGTACAATACTACCAAGCTGGGCTGGAAAAGTGTATGAAAATTCATTAACGTGCTGTGTTTTTCTTCAATTTCCTTTTTTATTTATTTTCCGAAAAGTTGTTACTATGATTTTGATGACATCAATATTTTTTTCTTTACTTTAATCATAGCATAGCTCAAGCATAATGCTCTTTGCTTTATGAATTAATTTTGAAAACAGACCAAAAGTAAGAACGCTCCCAGGCAAGGGTTTAACTGTAACAACGTTAGTATAAACTTCAATAAAATAATTTATTTTTTATTTCCTCGCAGGTATAGTATAAAGCACTATGTATCCCTTGAAAGAAAGTGCTATTCCCAACTTGGGTGTATTCGGACACTTGGCTGCGCCTCGGTTATCAAACTACATCCTCGTAAATCGGTCACTTTCTTCTCTAGGTGAATAATGTAACATTTTGAAGTTATACTTCTTTAGCCGCGTTATGAAAAAATGATGAGAGTGAAATTTTAAGATGCGCGCGCAACACTGTAACAGAAAAGTAACACCATGAAGTCGGCCGCTAAACCGCACATTACTCGTAAGTCTCGAAAAAAAGCTTCCAACAAAATAGTAATAGGATCTCTTAGTCGCACATGTTGGGACGCTCGTCGCCTCTGATCACTGTTTTCATATTTATAATATTTATCCACATGTTTCTAGTTTCTATATTCTTAACAAGTGTTATAATGTTATACAAATGCAAAATTTATATGTGCTAATAAATTTTATTCAGTAGTGATTTAAATTGAATATTTTGATTATTTATTAAATTTTTCAAATTAAAACTGAACTTTATTTACTGCGTTGACTATCCTTTTCCAATCCTTTTATTATCTTATTGTAATTAATTATCTGCATGCAATTAAAAACTATTTTTTAATAATTCCAAAAAGAAGTATAACTTGTCACGCGCGTACTTAAGTACACGCACCCATATTTTTTTTTCAGTTTATATTGCTTCTATCTGAAGAGCTTGGGGAAAAGTTGTTGAAATGTTTGTTGTGTGGACTAGATAAGTTATATACATCCACTACCTACATAATTTTAATTCCTGTGACAATCATAGGTGGCAATAAATATTTTCTTCGGCAAAACCTGCGTTTTCGGCTAGTTACCCTACAAAAAGCATAAAAGGCTGAGTCTAGATATAAAGTTTGTTCGTCTTTATTTTATATTTTATATCAAATTACTCGACGGCGTTCACAAAACACTGTTCTATTTGATTGGCAATTAAGCCATATTGATTACATCAAACAAAGCTCGGTGTACAATAAAAACTGACGACATCCGACACTTTGAAGGACATCACCCTCGTCATAATGGCACTACATACAACGATTAATTGTTTTCTCATCCGTAAAACATGTTGACGCAAGGGAAAAACGGTACGCTTCCGCCAATTATAGTGACAAAAGCCGTACGTTCCTATCGCGTAGGGATGTGCCACATCGATTGTGATATAAATCCGATATCAGTAAATATCAATAATATAAAATTATTTACCAGTCATTTAAATACGTAAGAAAAAATACCAATATTGAAATGGCTGGCAAGTTTATATTTATATTACGTAAGGAATAGGGACTTACGACGGCATCGGCAGCGCGATCGTGTCGCTGATTCGGTTATTATTTATGTGAAATCGCAAGTGATTCATAATTTTATCTTAAAAGAAAGAAAGGTAACTGGGGTGTGTATAATATTGTTTTAAAATAAAGGAGTTTTAAGCGGCAATTTGAATGTTTATCCTCGTCAGGTAGATACCTAAAGTGATCGCCGGTAGGGATGTAATTAGATATCTAACCAATGGTCGTACAAAGGAAGTAACTCCGTGTCGGAAGGCATGCTTAGTCGTTGGTGTCAGCTGCATAATTTAAATCGTTAGCAGTCATTAATCTGCATTAGGCGGTCATGGACCTTTTTCCTTATTTCATCCACAGGGAAGAATCCACAGCAGAGAAGACATTAATAGACTAAAGATGACGATGACCAAATCGATCATTAATCGCGCGAGTTCAGATTAGGTGATGTGTATCTCGTATAATTCTTACTTAATTGGCAACTTACTACATTAGGTTTTTATGACGTCATAAAATATATACAATAAACGTTATTTAATGAAAGTTCGTAATATTTCATTTCAAAACTTTTTTATCATAAGTACCTATATTTAATATTTTAAAAATAATGTAATGCAAAGAACTCCTTTAAGTCTGCCGAAAAAAACGGACACAGCTATTTATTCTTTGGATATCCACGGATAAGGATATTGAAACGGATCCATTACTTCCATCACTAGCGTCGGCTGTGGACGGTGGAGTACCCTCGATCAAGCGCGCACTCAACGGGTAATGGGGGAGAAAAAAAAATATAGAAAAAGCGCGCGAACATCGGTTCGGCAGCAAACCAGCGAGCGGTTTGTTTTTTTTTAATTGGATTGTTATTCGCGAAGGTTATTTGGAAGAGCTTTTAATACTTTTTTAATTGCAAATTTTCCTTGTTGCTTTATTTTTTTTTGTAACCTGTGTCGAACTTTTTTCTTTATTGGATATACATTTCATACGGCCTCAAGTCAAGTTACCCAAAACTTTAATAAATATCCAAATGACTGTAAGCTTTAATACTTCTAACAATGTTTGTAGAAGTAAATGAAATAGTTGATTATGTATCATCATCTCCCATGTTAACTATTATTTTCGCTACAAAAAATATCGTGAATCTAAGTCAAGCAGATAAAGTAAAAAAAAACGAGTGTGCTTATGACCACACGACTGAAGTGAAATTTCTTTAGCTCCATCTGTATGTATATATATATATATATATATGTGTGTACAATATATATATGTATGTACATATACATATTTATTTACTACCTATAAGAGAAAGAGAGAAAGAAAATGTGCGCGCGCTCTGCTTTCTCTTGCTTATATCCCCTACTCAACTCCCGTTCGTCTCCCCCGAACACACTTTTCATAACGCGTAACGCATTCGCCAGCTTACCCTCCAAGTCAAGCGTGCGTAAAGAAGTTTCACTTCAATAAGTTGGACATACTTGACAGTTTTTGGTAACTTGATAAAACAACACATGGCTTTGATCTATACTTACATATAGAATGCTAGGAAAGTCAAAACTTTACATTGAATGTTTTTTTTAAATAATACTTGGGGTGTGATCTACAATCGATATTAAAGCCAAAAATATGGTTTTTAGATTTTTTGTCTGTTTGTCTATATGCAGACCCGTCTTTCCCAGTGGGCACTTTGGGCAAATGCCCAGGGCCCCGCGATCGATAGGGGGCCCCCTCAGATCAAATACAAAGTCCCTAGTTCCTGTTAAATCTCCAAACGGAAGTCATAGGGGCCCCATTATACTAATATGCCCAGGTCCTCCAATAGGTAAAAGACGGCACTGTCTATATGTATGTCCAGGATAAACTCAAAAAGTACTGCATGGATTTACTTTAAAGGCACGAATATTATTAAGAAGTCGGGTCAACATATAGGCTACATATTATCACGCTATCACCTACGGGGAATGAGCAGTGAACCTTTATTTCTTGAACGCATTCTGTAACATAGAATAACTAACTTCACGCGTACGAAGTCGCGGCGGCCGCTAGTATCAATAAATTTAATTGACGCCTTAAATCCTGAATGAAAAGCGAGTAGAGCTAGAAACAAGTTGGCAAGCAGCAGAAACCGAGTGTTTAGTTTCGATAGTTTTATCGCTGGGCTATAAGCGAGTGTGCGAGTTCAATGGGCGATTACTCGCGCCACTCACTCACGGTGACAGTCCTGAGCAAAAATTCATGTCATCCATTCGTTTAGTTTAGGAGCTATGATGTTACAGACAGACAAGCAGAAGTAAATTTTTATCAATATCTTGCGCGCTACGATAAATAAAATTATTGCTGATTTTTAATATTCTAATGGCCTTCATGGCGTTGCGTGAGTTATGTCAATGCAATTTATTTATTTATAAATTTTACATATGTATTATGCGTCATTTTGCTGATTTCACGGAAGTCATTGTAGTCTTAAAAACGCTATCAAACACGTACGAAGTAAGTATACACAACTACGCAAGTAGGTACAAATATATTATTGTTAATTGATAATATAATTGAGAAGCACGTGGATTGGAATAATACCTACCTATGTATTCGTATTAATAAAAACCTTTTTGTAAAATCATCATCATCATCATCAGCCTATTAATGTCCCCATTGCTGGGGCACAGGCCTTCCCTATGGAAGGAATAGGGTGATTGGGCCATGACCCATCACGCTGGCCCAGTGCAGATTGGTGGGTGCTAACGACTGCAGATGCAGCCGGGACCAACGGCTTAACGTGCCTTTCGAAGCACGGCGGAGCTCGAGATAGTAAATTTTTGGTCACCCATCCAATGACCGACCACTGCGAAAGGTGCTTAACTTCAATGATGGCAGCCGAACGCACGAACCACTTGCGCCATCGAGCGAGCATCGAGTTTTTGTAAAAAAACTTTCTCTTATTTAATACTAGCTGTGCCCCGCGGTGTTACCCGTGGTTTATTAGGGATATTTTTTAGCCTATGTGTTAATCCAGGGTGTCAGCTCACTCCATACCAAATTCTATAAAAATCGCTCCAGCCGTTTAGACGTGAAGTAGTAACAAACATACACACTCACAAACTTTCGCCTTTATAATATTAGTGTGATTAGTGTGATACGAAGAGATTTATCACAAAATGTTTGTCTTCTGTACTACGTAGGTATACAGTTTTTTACGTTAGAGC